AAGCGGTGCATTTGTCAACAAAAAGCGCAATAAGCAAACCAGCCACGAATTACAGAACAATGTTGATAGCAGCTGTATTTCATTTTGTACACCAAGTAGAAAAAGACAGTTTAAAACATCACAAGATGACACAAAACGCTGTCAGCTCCAGCTATCAGTAAGCAAGTTTCCAGACGCTGCATGAATTTTCCCCATAAACTCACCTGTCAAATTTTGACCAATCAGAACATAAAAATTGGACGTAGAGCGTGATGAACACGTGACAGTGAAAAAAGCCAAAAGCGATTGCCTTCCCTGCATTTAAATGTAAAAGCCGGTTGAATTTTCGTGTCCGAGGTCAGTTCGAAATCAACATTTTAAAAGTGCGGCTCATGAACACGACTTATTTCATATGCATTTTAAAAAAATTGAACTTGAGCCTGCGATCATTTGAAAAGTAGCAACTTGTCAGCGGATACCTTCAAAAAATTACTCGAACTCAGAGGGTCTATACCTGACCCCGCGATACGGTCAGGCGATACTGGTCAGCAGAAACATTGGTATGCCTGTGGTGCGGACAGACGGAAGGTCGGGTGGTCGGTGTACGGTCACGTGCTTGCCGAATTTTCTAGGATGGACAGATTTTCTATAAAGCTATGGGGCTTCGAATTGAGCCTGTGATCAAATAAAATATATGCGCAAAACTTTAAACACTACGTGACCTCAATGGATAGAAAAATGAGCCCGCGATCCACTCAGGTGATGATGGTCAGCGTATACTCTAGTTTGACAGCTGTCAATTAACCTTCATTAGATTGGCGAATATTCGAATTAACAGACTACAAGTGTGAGTAGGACATATCCGTCCAGCATGTAGTGGAAAATGCCAGATCGTGTACCTGAGCGAACCTGAGCCCACGTTACTAGTTTTCTGATTGTGGTCTGCACATGTCCCATTTTGACAGCTGTCAATTGAACTTAATTTGGCTTGCCAATGTAACTTTAAACGACTGTCAGTCAACTGACAGCCTTGCCCAGCGTAGTTTCGTTTTTATGTTGAATTGGTAAGTGTGACATATTATGTCAGCTTATATATAGGGGTAAAACGACTGGTCTTTTATCTGAGCCCGCGAGATGGTCATGTGATAATTGTCAGCGGATGTCTGATTTTGACAGCTGTCAATCTAATCGTACTCATACGGATGGCTTACATAACTAAGAGGCTAGTCAAGTTGTGCAAGATCTATTGTGACATTTGACATCGGCTTACATGAAGTGTGTGTACGGGTGGGCGTACGCTACGTCATAACCAAATTTTCTCGGATGGATAGTTTACCAAATTTTCTTACCCATGGTGCTCCGCTGCGCGCGCGCTTCGCGCGCGCGGGAGCTCCGCTATTTAACAATTATTCCACGAGGGCGCGTTGGATATGAGATGATAGATAGCCAACGAGGCGCATAGCGCCGAGTTGGCTATAATCATGTCATATCCAACAAGCCCGAGTGGAATAATTGTTTTATTAAAAACGCCCACAAAATCTCGTTGAATCGCCCCGACTAGAACAAACCGGAAAAGACAAGGGACTTCCGCTATTGACATGTCACACGTCTATCAAAACTGTCAACGCGCGAACGGACTCGCCTGGACTGCATGAATGAAAAATCAAAACATTGTACGATGAACATTAGATTTTTAAAAACTCATCGTGATTCTAGGATTTTACACAGCAGAACAGCTTAAAAAACCTGGCAGATAATGTGAAGGAAAGGAATTTTTAAGTGACAGCCGTCGAAATTACTATGAATTTGGATTTTCGGTGCAGTTATAAAAGTAAGAACAACGGAGAAAAACTACCGGTATTACCTCGGTCGCTTGTTATGAAGTTGTTTGAAGCCACAAGCTGGTTTTGCTGAACGAGAAAAGAAGCTATACTGCCGCCTCGATTGCTCTAGTGAATGGCTGCATAGCCTGTATTTGTAGCTGGTTACTTGTGATTTATATTCTTGATGTCGGATAAACAAGCTGCAGTTATCTATCGGCGAGTGACTCGATCGGCGAATGGCTTCGCGATCATGAAGAAACAACACTTGTCTTCTTTCGTAGCTGGTCAAGGTACTTTAGTTCCATGTGTTTTCATGTGTTTTTCGACAAACTTTCAAACAAGCTCTTGTGGCTTTTTTGTTTGTTTTTGTCTTTTTTCTTTCGTTGAAATTGCATTTCTAGTATTCTAAGAAATGAATTAAAACGATTTGCTTTGGGCGCCGTTCTATCCTTCGCGAAAAAAAATCTCAGCTAGCTTCCAATTTTAAACTGACGCGTACACCGACCATATATGGAGAACATGGTATATTAGCTCATATACCATAACGGCTAAGCCAATCAAAATGCTAGAATTGCATTATCCAATGATTCAGTTTTTAATAAAATAGGATATTTTAATATCAGACGCTATGACATCCATTCCCATAACACTATTTTAACGAATAACCTATTTATTCTAAATTTCCAAGCATACTTATATTTTACGTATATTTTGAATGATTGTTATTTTTTGCAGCAACTACATAAACTAAGGGAAAAAAGCAAGTTACATTCAAATTGTTCATAAACTAATCTTGCAAATGCAATATAATCAATGACGTATATTTAGAGTGATTGAACTTGTCTCTTTTTTATGTTTCGATTCAGTGTACAAGTTGTCCTATAGTCTCCCTCTGAACTGCAACTGATTTTTCGAGCGTTATGCTCAGTCATACACAACTTGAGTTCTATGCAGTATGGTCCGTCCCTTAGGAAAGTTATTACACTGCCTAGTTCCCAGGCCATGTTATCTGCCGAGCCAATTCGTTTTCGTTCAAGTGGTCCTATCGACTAAACACAGTCATCACTTAACAGCGGGTGTAAGAGCAGTAAAAAAGCCCAGTACAATCGGCGACAAATTGTTACGAGAATTTTCCTCAAATAGGGTACATCGGAGAACAAAACAATCTGTACCTCCCCCTTCCCTCTATTCAAAGTTGGGCCACGGTGTTTGTTGTTCGTTACAAGTAGCAGTTACAGCGGCACCACATTGCTTGGAGGGGTTGGGGTTTGAAAGCTTCAATTTACCCGAGTTTTGAACGCATGCAGAAAAACGTCACAAAGGCCCTTTCAGGTAAAGTGTTGCAACTAATTTTGTCGGTGATTGTAGGTACAGCCCCACCTTGTATGACCGTCAACGTTTAGAACATGTTCATCGTCAAATGTACAGTGGGAACCATAATACTTGAGTCATGATGGGCAAAAGCGCGTATGCCTGAGATGGATGAGCACAAAGCGGCCACAGGAACAAGGGGAAAGTAATTCCGATTCGACCTCTTAACTTAACTTAATTGAAACTCAGTGAAACTCAGTTCAACTCTTTACTCTGAACTGACCAAGGTCATAAAACAAAACGGTTTTTTTAGAAATATACAGAAATAAAAACAACATTCATGACGATGGAAAGTGCTACTGAATCAGTAAAAATGTTACTCTTTCCTTAGAGTCTGGTAGAACTCACTCCACTATATATAAGCTGAGGCTTGAACTAAGCTGAGGCTTAATGTAAACTTGGTAATCACAAGCAGTGTTAGCTAATTACGATGTAGATGGCTCGAATCTACCGAGACCTTAACTAAACACAACCACTAGCAAACGACCTAACTCATTTGAAAGTATCCCTTATTCTATGTTTGTTGTTTACAGGGAATGTCCCTATGGCGTATCTATATATCTATACGTACTGACTACAAAAAAATGCTCGGTACGCTTACATGAAACGCCCTAAATTAAAGCTAATGCTCTTGTTAGCTTTTTATACTCCAGGACGAAGAGCACCTCATCAACTCACTCCGCGTCACTCAGAATGGGGATGAAGCAGCGACACCTCAATATCCAACACGGCTAGTGTTTTCTTCTGTGAGGGAACTTTAAACTCCACCTCTCGTTTCAGCTGTTTGTGCAACTTCTCAGCCTCCCGTAGCTCGTTCTTCCGAAAATCTTCGCATTTGGCCAACAAGAGCTTGTCGGTGAAGTATCCCTGGACATTTCGTTTGCAAATGAATAGTATAACAGCGACGATCATTGAGCAGACTGTCAAGTGAGCTAGATTCAATGAGAGGAAAAAAAACAGTCTCATCAGACTATCAAACTGAAACACTCTGTGCGGTCTGAAAATGAGATTTTTCTTACTGAGAAGTTGCAGCTTATACGGCTATCACTTTGTAAAAGAACACTGGAGGTATTGTCTTAAAACTAAAGGTACTCTGATAATTTCAGGCATACAGTAAATGAGTTCGGGAAAAAAAAGATAAGACTTTGTTACTTTGGTTCAGTTGACCTGACCGAAAATCTGCTGCCCTATCTAAGAGCTGACCATTACCAATGATACTTGTTTCCATCTACCTACTTTGTTAGTAGTCTGCGTAGCCGGTAGGATCAATAGCGCGAGCAAAGTTTTGGCAGAAGAGCTGCGAGTCATGGTGGCTGCGCTACCAAAGCTCTTGCAACGTACGCGCAAAAACAGTGAATTCCGCCAAGTACACAGGCTACTTTAGAATAGGTATTTAACAATTATTCCTCGAGCCCGAATATCGAGAATAAAAAAAGTTTAGCTATTTAAAACTAGCCTTTGACCCTTTTTTGCCGCCAAAAAGCCCGCGCTTTTCGCTACTAGTGGGCTATAACATATAGCCTAGTAGTAGCTCAACCAATCAGAACGCCGCATTGACAATAGACTACTAGTTGGATTTTACGAAATTCTGTATAGATTTGCGTCAACATTTCGGTAGTGCTTCCTCTTCCCACTTCCACAATTAGTGGTTCTAAATTAGATGCTACTGGCCTTACCCTATTCCAGGCCACAAATGATAGATTCTGCACTTTGGACCTAACGGAATAATTGTTTTATTATTCATTCAAAATGTTTCATACTGAAAAAAATAAGCTAAAACATATTAACCTCGGTCGATGTTAAGTCCCCGTCTCCATTTGCCTGTTCCTACGCAAATCCAGGATATAAGTATAACAAGTGTTTAGTCTTGTAGATATTCTTGAAATAGCAGTTTTCATCGGTCCCCAGGTCTCCTCGGTTGCTTTGCATTTTTCTGGCATTATCCTGCACTATATATTCAAGCCTTTCCGTTCCCAGATATTGCAATCGTCTTCCAAATTTAATAAAAGCTAACAGCATAAATAACAGTTTCAATGCTTTTTGTGCTCATAAGCTTCTAACCTTCACTTTTTCCTGTTTTTATTTCAACATGTTACAATAGTATCATATTGCAAGCTATCCTTTATTTTAAATTGTGATGTTCCGTTGATAAATAACAGGACGATCTGAGCAAATCAGAGGCGTAAATATATTTTGAATGAATAATAAAACCCCTGATCCTCTGGCACCTTACTCCGTACTTTTAAAGCTTACGAAGGGTTAGAATGTCTCAAGTCTTAAAACGTCTGCAAGGGAACAAATTGAACTTACAGCCAACAGTTAAATCAGCTGCGATGAGTAAACTAATAATGATGACCACTTGCTTAAGAATATGAGTAGGGGTTCTTTTTACTCCATCCTGCAGATCAGAGATGTCATCCCTTAGATACGTCAGAGCATCTTGGCATGTACCCAGAACACATGTGCAATTGATAAGTCCCATTTCTATTTCCAGGTCATCATTACGCGAGATTCTGTAGTTTCTTTTAACAGCAGTCTGGATCTACATAATTTTCAAAGAAACAAAGAGTATGAGGTCTTAATCATTACTGATAAATATCTTTGAAAAAAAAATTAAAGAGTTAAACTATTGACTAATAAAGCCTGCATGTTTTTTTTCTCTTTGTTCATCGCCATTTGGAAAAATGACGGGGCACTCTCTCCTCCTCAGCCTCCTCAGAGGCGGTTTAAAGGGGAAACCTAAAAGAGCGCAGGGAAGGATGGGAAGGGAAAAAGAAAGGAAGCAGAGACCTTTCCTCTCTTCCCATCGTCCACCGCGCGCTTATCTATATTTTTGTCATTTTTATTTTGTTGGAATACCCAGCCGGTGCCTCTAAAGAGGAAAGAGGATGCGGGCAAATTGAAATTTATCATTCACCTAGTTATATTAACGAGCTACTGATAGAAAAAAATTCTTCTTACAATTTGCATGGTAAACACTCTCTTAGTATTCCTAGGGTTCAATCGACCAAATATGGTTTGCACTCCTTTCATTACTCTGTCAGCAAATATTGGAATATGCTCCCAGAGGTACTTAGAACTGCTGAGTCATTACTTTTTTTCAAATAAAAAATTAAGAGCATTAGCTTTGATAATAAATGCTGCTCCTTTGTAATTAGTTTTAATCATCACTAGTTACTGTAGTCACAATGTATATAATATTTTTCTTGTCTACGTTATCTTAAATTTGTACATAATAATTATATAGCATCACTTTATTTTAATTACCGTTCTCATTTATTTTCTATTTATGTTGCTTTTCCTTCAGAGATATTAGCATGAGTTTATGCTATCTTTTGAAATTCGAAGTGAAAAAAAGTTTTTGATTGATTGATTGATGGACTGACCTGCTTTCGCATATACTGATGCAGTCTTTTTATTGAGTCTCCCTTTACAGGGCTTTTCAGACACAATCTACTAATTACGTGAAATGTGCAGAAATAAAATCTAAAATCTAAAAAGCCAAACTGTCTAGTGCATTCATTAGAATACACTGTTAAACAATAAATTAGATAAAGAAATTCCTGCTCATGTGATCTATTCGTTAAATATACAATTAAATAATCTTTTCTTAAAAGCTTGATACCTTTAATGCTCTGAAGGTCCTTTAGCAGGTCATTCCACCGTTTAGCCCCGAGAAAGAAAAAGCCTCGACAAGACAGCCGGTAGCATGGAAGTCGCAAGTTTCCAGACCTTCTTGTGCTAGACCGATTTAGACATTAAAAAACTGAAACTAAATCATTGATTAAAATCTTCTCGGAAACATTCAGCCATTTTAGAAAATATGACCCCTCAGAAACATGATCAAATTACTTTAACCAGAAAACGATCCTGGCAGCGAAATTCTGCACTAATTGAAGCTCAGTTATGTATGTTTGATTTAACTGAGTTTCCGCATACAGCGAAACAATAAAAGTAACTTGCTAAAAACAAATTTTTAGATTCCACTAATGCTCCAAAGATCTTTAAAGTTTTCAGACTTCTAAGAAAGCTGTGGAAGCAGTTACGTTCTTCCATAGAAATGAAGAGGGGTGAGTATCGATCGCTGTTGAAATGATATCATTAGTTCTTCAAAATAAACTCAGTTCTTCAACTAAACTCTCTTTCCGGCTATTTGCAGACGACACTAGCGTCTTTCCTCCACTTCTAAATCCGAAAGAACTTAAGACTACCACGAATCAAGACACAAAAAGTAAAGAATTGGTGCGACATTAATAAGCTCTCTATAAACCCTAAGAAAACAAACTTCATGTAAATTAAGTCAGCCCATAAAAAATGAAACACACCATTAAACATAATATTTTGTTGTTGGTTCTCTCCTTTGCTCCGAGAGGTTTTTCTCCAGGTACTCCAGTTTTCCCCTCTCCTCAAAAACCAGCATTTCCAAATTCCAATTTGACCGGGAGTCAGGTAGACGAAGAACCATTTTGTGGATGTGCTAACTCCAAATCATTATTTATTTATTTATTTATTTATTTATCTTTCCAACCAATGAAGGCACCATTTCTTCTCTTGAACAGAACGACCACGCCAAATACCTTGGCGTCATGACAGATGACTGAAAATAAGCAGGAAGTACCACATTTCTTTTTTTTTCTTCACGTATATCTAGAAATTCTGGAATTTTCTTCAAGTTTCGTAACTTCTCTCCATTTCAACTAGGGCAATAATATAACCTAATCTATTCCCATCTTACCGCCATGCTATCATTGTTTGGGGCAGTGCCTACAAGTCCAGTATAAAAATTCTCCAGGTCAAACAAAACCACATTGCAAGGATAATATTTTTTCCACATTGTAAGGGAAACATACAGAAAGCCCCTTGCCCATTAATAAATCTTCCGATCGTGACATTCTAACTTTTGAACATATTTGCGAACGTCAAACATTAAAATTTTCCCATAAATGGCACAAACAAGAGCTCCAATCAATCTTTCACAGTCGCTTTCAATACATCAGAAAAAACAACTCCTTTAACGCTAGATATGCTTCAAAAGACAATCTATATCAATATGATCTCCTTTGGAACAAATACTGGTAAACAAACGATATCTGCATCGAAGTAGACCCCTGGAAGGAACTACCCTTTGACTTCAAACGCCTATTGCAAGTGCTGCTCTTTTCAACAACACTTGTTAATTAAGTAATATGCTTCTTCTGACATCTGACACAAATTAGCTGCCTCTTCTTCGTTTATTCGCGCGTTAATATATCCTCTATGCTTTTGCTTTACGCTGTGCTGTGCACTTGCATTTCCTTTCTTTTCTTTTTCATTTTTTCCCTCTTTTACTTTACCTTTACTGGTCTTTGCTTATGCTTCCTTATTTATTTACTTTATTCTGTTGCTTGTGTGCTTTTGTTTGTGAGTCTAACTACATAAAAAAACATATTTATAAGTCTAGAGACTAGCTCGAAAACCTCGCGGTTCATTGAGGCTCTAGGCACTTCCTTCTTTTATACTTATATTTTTTGTTACCTTAAAATTTTCCAAAAAAAAAAAACAGATATGTATTTTAAAGAATATTTATACAATGTAACTAAAAAATATAAGAGAAATGTTAATAAAGTAGTTGTTGTTTTTGTTGAGGCTGTGGCCATAATAATGTTAACACCAGGAGCCCATTACCTCGTGAGAGCAACTTCCCTGTACTCGTCTCAAGGCACTTTCTTCAATTAGTTTATTTTTAGAACGATCTTGGCTCTAAAACGTCCCACAAACCATTCAACAAAACCCAGCTTCAGACGTTAAAATGGAGTTTTTGACCTTTTAAGGACGTTTAGGTTTCCGTTTTTCTATCTTATACTTAATGCGTTAATAGTACGGAGCTTTCATTTTCGCGTGAAAAAGTGGTCTAAAATGCATTTTAAAATAAAAGGGTCCGTCAAAACGCCGTGACAAAGGCCATCCCCTTCCCCATTGAAGTAGCTCGCTCCGAGTTATGGTTTCCTTTCACGCTCATTCGTGGGGACGGTTTGGAGTCATAGAAGTGCTTTTATTTTATATATCCGCTAGGATTGCTCAAATCTAGTACAATAAAGCCTAACAATGAACTTTGCAGTAAAATTCTATCCAATATCATACTGGTATGCGCTTTCATTTAATGATTCTTATACGTAAAATAACTTAACGCTTGTCGTAATGATAACCTCAGCTCTGACAAGGACTTTATTCTACAAGGTGTTCAAATTAATCAATTGATTAATAGATGAATAAATGTATAAATAATATCATGGGCAACAAATCACTCCTTAATTTTGGCTCGAAGTTTCAGCCTTAATTTATAAATGTACACGTGAAATAGCGATATTGTTATAATCGTGTTTTTTTTCTACGGTGCCAAAATCCCCCGTTTTGTGAGCGTATACATTTTTTGACCATAGTATTCAAACTGTAATCAAATGGTATACAATTGTACTAGTGAAACTGGAGGAATAATTTAACTTGTGTTCTGTCCAAATTCTTATATGAAAGTATTCCCTAATTTCACTTGTCCATTTGATTACACACACAAATTCGTTAGCTATTTTTTCCACAATGTTTTTACTGTAACCTACAAGTAAAACAGAAAAACAAAAATACCAGCAATACCTTCTCTTGCATTTTTGTCGTGTCATGAAGCACCCTCTCGTGGTTCCACTTTACTTCCCCCAGATACTTTTTCATCTTGTCAAACTGCGCGCGGCTTTCTTTCGGTATATCTTTCATAGTCTTGAGTCCATCAGTGAACGCTGTCCACAGAAAAAAGATCCAAAACCTGATCCAAGACCAGCTTCCGCATGCCATAGCTGCTAAGGCACTGGTGTTAAGGTGAAATTTGCTTCTCTCCGCAATTCCACGTCCCTGTGTCTGGAGAAGGTTTGTTAACACATCCCGATTTTTCTGCAGAAATTCTGCCAGCATTTGAAATTTCTCAGCCGTTTTCTGTTGACCTTCCTCTTGTATGGGGCGCGGAAGTAACTTCTCATGGGTGCTGTCCACCATGGTCTTGATTGAGATGTAAATGGAAAAGGCGATTCTGAAAATGAATAAAAGACCTTAGGGGATTAAGCGCAAAAAGAACAATCTGCTTTAGTTTCACATTTGCGATTTCATTCTCGAATATGAATGAAGGACATGAATACATACAAAGAACTTTTAGAACAAAGGGATGTTTCATACATACTCATACATAAGTACACTGTTTACAGGAGGATCATAAGGTTATCCCTATATTAAGATCTCTCCTTAAAGATAACCCACCCAGCCCAGGAAAGTTTGGCCACAAGCAGTGGTATAGGCACCAAATTAACTCCCTTTCATGCGGGGGAATACATTAACGCCGATGACGTCATAGCGTTTTTTCTTTTAACTCACGAATAAAATGCTGTGGATTCTCATTATCTGCCATCTTTTGTGTTTCTTATACAATAGGAGCTATAGACTAACGTAGCCTAGACTAGTTTTAACCTGTTTGTCATGTTCTTGTTTTATTGAACTGGTTTTGGTTATTTTTAGATTGATGATGTCTAAGGAATAAACTCAAACTTGCCTGTGCCTTCAAATCATTGAGCCGTAACGTAATTATGCACGTTCCATTTCCTTCCGCTGTCATTGTTAAAGTTCCTGTGCACCGATTCTTAGCGAGAAAGTCGTGTATATCTAATGAAGCGCGAAGGCAAACTAGTGCGTTCTACCTCCACTCTCCTCCCTTTTTGAATTTGCATCTCTACATTTCTATTGTTTTCTTCCTCCACCACCACATTTCCATGTTTTCCCTCCTCTTACTGCTCAATTTTATTGTTGCTCTCCTCCTCCTCCTCATGTCTATTGTTTACCCTCCTATCATACCAGACTTATTTAATCAAAAAACCGATAATCGATAATTATCGATAGTAATCGATATCGATCATCGATGAATATCGATTTCCGATATCGATAAAGAAAAGTTGTGACTTCGATCAAGGGCGATGATTTCCCTGTAGAAATCGATAATGATTTTTTAGCGATTATGCTATCGATTCCTATCGATTAACTACGTCTGGAACATATAACAAGCTATTTAGTAAACCGACAAGCCAATTACCGATGACAGGTCTTGCAAACGACATCAACCAAGCACTTCTACAACCACAACAAGACTTTTCGCCCTTTCTGTTTGCTATCAGGTTAGCACATCGGGTCACAAGGTCTCCACTCCCTCACTTGAACAGTGTTTATAGCTTAGAGCAGTTGTTGCCTCTAAAGCAGGTAACCCAGAGTAGGGACATGCGTATAGCTGAGTGAAAGATGAACTTCCCGCCACGTTTCAAAACGCTCCTCCGTCTCTGTTTAGTGAAGATACTTCAAGCGGTCTTTTCAAGTACGTGGACGATACTGAAGTCTACAAAGTAGTGGAAAATAAAAGGACTGGTCATGCGCAGTCCATGAGGTGTCTGCATGGTCTACTAAAAATATGTTTCAACTACATTCCTGTAAGTGCAATGAACTAAAGATAGCCTTTGCACGCTCTCCAAAAAACCATGAACTTGTAGAAATCGATGGTTGTGCAATTCACCCAGTACAGGTAGTTAAATTAGTAGACTTTTATAGTCAAGAACACCATAAGGGGAATTCTCATGTAACAGAAATGACAAAAAAGCTACCAAACGATTTTTTTACAATAAATTAGCAAATCCTCGCTCGCTGATTGGTCGAGAGCTATGGTCTATGAGAGTATAAACCATGGAAATGACGTAACATGTCACGCAGTGCTGGTTGTTTTGTTTTTGGTTTTTCGTAAAAAAAAGAAATATTATTGTAAAAAACAAATCGACCACACTTTTCCATCGCCTACAGTCTTTTAGACCATAGAAATGACGTCTAAAATGCTCAAAACATTGCAGTGGAACCACAAGCCGTGTTTCCACTTGAGTTTTGAACATTTTATGACGTCATTTGCATGGTTTAGAAGAGTGTAGACCATGGAAAGTTTTAGTCGATTTGTTAAGAATTTTTTAGAGCAACTAAAGCGTGCAAAAGTACCACCTGAAGAACTAGTTCAGTTCTATTTAGTTTGCATTTAGTCAGTTTTTCTCTACGGCTGCCAGGTTTTAAATTTAGCCTTCCACATTATCTAAACTTAACTTTCGAACGGATACAAAAACGGGCTACTCAGATGCCCTGTCACGTTGAGGCCTTTACGTTACAGAAAAGAAGGAGAGAGCTGTTTAAAAAAAACCTTTCTTAACAAAATTGTTGAAAATTCCCTTGATGTTTTGCACCCTCTCATAACATTCAATGAGTTACCCTCTAAGGACCTCTGTCAGGAATTCCAGAACATACAGTGTAAAACCATGCAAGACCAACCGGTGCCATGATACATTTATTAACAAATGCCCAAGTATTTTCCAATAATTCATAGTTAGTCTGAGATTCTATGTTCGAAGTTGTAGGATTTGTTAAAGTTAGTATATGAGGATTTAATTTGTAATTATGTTTGAATTCATAACCCTTTTCTATATATTGTTAACCTTAGCAATTCAGTCGATACTGTTAGTGAGGTATTTCATTGAAGTATTCTATTCTATTTTATTCTATTCTATTCTATTCTAGAAATAGATCCTACAGGGAAGTGGAATGGGGAATTGATTTTACTGAATGATCATTCACGTGATTTAGTGATGCACGCAACAAGTACCAGTCCCTGGGCAAGAGAAAGCCTCTGAAAAAAATACCGTAAAATTCCGAAAATAAGCCCCGGGGCTTATATTTTTCAAAGGCCCTTTTTGAGGGGCTTATTTCTGGAGGGGCTTATCTACGGAGGGAAATTTGCGTTTCAAAACTAGTCGGTTGGGCTAGCCTGATAGTTGGAAGTAAATTTACCGTTTTTGCTTTGTTCTACTTTGTGTTTGAGGGCAATTTTTCAAGTACAAGCCCCCGCGGGCTTATATTTGGAGGGGCGATTTAACGGAGGGTTTTTTGCGTTACCGGTTTGGGGGGCTTATATTTGGAGGGGCTTATACATGGAAGGGCTTATTTTCGGAATTTTACGGTATTGTACGAAAGCATGATGCCATGAAAGTGGTGTCGAATACGGAGAAAAGTTTGACTAAAGAGGCAAGACAAGACAAAAATGTTTTATTTTACTCAACACGATTTTACAATTAATACAGATTGAGTTAGCGAAACAAAGCTCATCAACATGAATTTTCCACGGTTAAGCTTGAATCAAGTGTTATGCCTAAGTACTTAACACAGTGAACTTGTTTAATAGGAACATCCCCAATTTCAATACAAAGAGACTGACAAGGCTTCAGTTTATTGGAATGGAAAAGAATAAAGTAGTTTTAAAGATACTAAGTGTTAATGGATTACGATCAGTTAAATTAAGGATATTTTCTCGCAGTATTTTAGCTAGCTGTGCTAAGTAACAGCCTTTTTAGCCAGTTGTTTACAGTTATAAACGTTTCTGTTTAACTACCTTAAAGTTCGAGTACGATGGCCATCCAGGCATTCAGCAACAGATTAAGTTTCTTAATTTAGTGTTTTTTCAAGGTGGCTAGTAAGTTGTTTCCGTGGTTTGCTACAAAAACAAAGGTCAGAATCATCAGCCCAAAAAAATGTAAAGTAAGCTAGAAGTATTAGGAAAATCATTTACACACTAACAGAAATAAAAGGGATCCTACAATGGATCCTTGTAGAACAGCACAAGTCACAGGTAAGGAAACGGAGTTATGACCATTAACACATACGGTTCAAGTTGCTCACTTTGGGTGAATAAGATTTCAGTAAATCATTTAAAAGCTTTTTTTCAGATCTACAAATATACCACAGCCAAATTCAGTATTATCAATAGACTGTCGACTATTAGTCAAACATTTGTCCCTGAAAACCAAGCAGAATTGGATTTATTTTTAATTTCTCTAGATACCTATTAGAGACGATGATACATAGCTTTTTAAAATCATTTGCTTAAGTTGGAGACGAAACAGAAATGGGTCTTTAATCGTCTTTTCCATATTTAGAGCCTTTCATGGAAGACAAGGCTGAACCTGTGCTTACTTAAATTTATCGACAAAATTGCCTCTTGTAAACGAATCATTCACTAAAAAGGTCAGAGGCTCAGGTATATAGTCCTTCATAGTTTTCAGAATAGTAACAGGTATATTGAATGGGCCACAAGACTTTCTAGTATTTATATCACTTATAAGATTCCCGATCATTTGGGATGACAGAGGATAAAAAGAAAGATACTAGAAATTAAATTACCCCTCATGCCATCAAGAATGCCCCCTTTCAGACGCAATGAATCGAATTATCTACACATGACGTTGTGTTATTTATTGGCCCTGTTTCCGAGCTATAAAGGTATTCACTATTGTAGCGAATGAAGACCGTAAACATTACAAACACAACAAAACGTACCCTTATGCATGACAGTTCCTGCTCAAGCTACCGCTAAACTTTGATTGAAAGAAAATCGTTCTTACGATGCGATTTGCTCTTTTACTCCTAGCCTCCTAATTCACTAGAAACATATTTTCTATTAACCGCAAAAGGTTCCTACTTTCGAGGAATAAAGAACCATACCGTTACAAAACACACTTTCAATTTCTGCGAATGTTAAATTCGTTCATTTCCCGGAAAAACGATAAGAACGTGAAATAATTTAATTCATACGCCCAAAAGTGAACTGACACCCGTACTTAACAACATTTGAAGACGTTAAATAATCAGAAATAAAACGAGAATGTGGCACAATTTTTGCTCCTGTTTTTGTTACTCAAGGCTTTGAGTCCACAACATTAATCCGGAAGCCTGAAGGCCAATATGCTTCCGCTTGTTTCCTTATCTGTTTTAAGCACCGGCTCAACTGGAGAGTAGTAGCCTAGCCTGCGTAGCAGGCACTTGGAAGTAGCGGGCGAAAGAGAGAACGGGCGCGCGCTAGGGAGACACGCAAGGGGTGAGGGAGCGCCTGCACGGAAGGCCCCAGAAAATCGTTTCAACTCGCACTCTGTGAGTGC